TTGTCTTATGCTGCAATTGTTCATATTCTTCAACCAAAAGAATATATCCTGGGCTGGGGCAGTAGTAGACCATGTGCAAGACCCTGGGTTCAGTCCTCAGCACCAAAAAAACCAAAACCATATTCCAACAGATTGAATGAAGAAGCAGTTGTGAGAATCCAGCTGTCTTCTATTAAATCAGACAGTAAGGAGACTTATAAAAATGTAAAACAATGTCAATCTTCCTAATGTCTTAAATTGAAAGTATAACTGTTTTTATTAAAATATGGTTAACATGAAAGTTTTTACCTTGAAATGAATTAATGTGCACTTAAAAATTGTTACTTTCTAATAAGATAATAACACTAGATGTAGCCCTCATAAATCAAAGCTCATTGGGGTCCTCACTAACTTTTGAGAATGAGTCCTGAGATCAGAACTTCTCAGAAACTGCTGGCTTACAAAAGAAGAAAGGACAAGCTGGAGACCCACGGCTCACCTCCTTCATTCCTCCCCTTTCTACCTAAGAAGCCACTATTACACCCATCAATTCTTATGTGATTTGTTACTCTAAATCATACTTCCTATTTCAAGATAGGGATAGACTATCCTCTCCTCTGAAAAGCCTATCACTGCTTCATCCTGGGATTCCATTTTTCCTTCCACAACTAATGACTCATAATTAAAGATCCTGTATGTGCTCAAAAAAAAAAAAAAGAAAAGAAAAAGAAAAAAAAAGATAATGAAAATTGAGGTGAGAAAATTGACCCAGAGTCTGAAAGTTACCTAGACATGAGGTGATAGGGACTTAGAGCTAAGTGGCAGTATGAGTGAAATGGGAGATACTTTGAAAGAAGAAATAAATACTATTTTTGAAAACCTAAGGAGAGGGGAATGGTGATGGCTAAGAAGGAGTAGCTAGAAAGAAATGGAAAATGCTTGTGAAGAACAGTCAAGTAAGACAAGAGGTTAAGGAAGAGGCAGGTCATGGATAGATTGAAACTAGAATCAGGAAAAGGAGCTCAATGTCAAATCCAGGGCCTGGCTTATTTAATAGACTTGATTCACAAGCACTACTTGGAAACTTAGAAACAGTTGCTCAAGGTCATGTAGCTAGTGAATGACCCAACATTGTCCACAATGCCTAATACTGTAGAGTGTAAGGAGGATGACAGTGAAAAAGAGGCTCCTCTTTATGGGATGACCATCGATGACCTCCATGGCTCTAACAGAATCTGACCTTTAAGAAGAAGGAATGTTGAGATGGGAAATGAAGCAGTGAATGCAGGTCAAATTGAGAAGGGTTAGTAAAAGGGAGGGAATTTGTTATCTTAGAATAGTGAGTTCATAAAAAGATATTGGGACCAGAAAAATTATAAATGACTCTATTTTTAAATAAAAGAAATACAGGCACATTTGAAAACACATTAACTTGTAAAAACAGAAAATGATATAATAGTGTGGGTTCTTAGTGTAAAAGCTAGGTATAACCCAACTTTATAGCATCTTATGGTTTATAAGGTGTTTCTTATACACTATTGGTTTTGAGTCTTATAACCTATAGGAAGTGGGTATGGCCACTTCACTGAGGAGGAAGTTGAGATTCAGAGAGAGGTTTAACACTGGAAGAGGTCTAGAATTGCTTTAGCATGGAGAATACCCCATCTTCTGAAATAGTATGGAAAGATGGGAGGAGTAACATAAAAGACACCAATGATCTGAAGTAATGATGGCAGTAACTGAGGATCTGGTCTAATTTTGGACTGCTCCTTAGTGTTTGTGTCCCATAGTTTAACAGGGTATGAAGAACTAAAAGGAAGTAGTCAAGAAGTGATCCCTTTGCCTTTCCACATGGGTTGACCTTCCACAATGATGTAATACTGAGGATTCCATGACAATGTTACACAGGAAAGAATATCACTCCCCATTTTCCTAGTGAATTCCTAGGAAGCAGAAGACCAGTTATTCTCTCATTCCAAATATTGCCATCATAAGTTCTTTGGTTATTTACATCTGTGAGCTATAAAGTGAAATGAGTTCTTTCTTCTTTCTAGTCCTCATCCCATTGATACTGGGTAAGAGGTATGCCTAATACTGGTGAGTGAATTAATAATAATTACAAATGAAAATAGACTCTCCATTTAGAACTGCCCATTAGGTTTGGTTCAGAGGACTATAGTTTAAAGATCGTCTGGCTGTTCAAATCACAGTATTTGGTGACGACTGTGGAAGTAAAGATGTATTTCCATTTCATAGAAGAATGTGTCCACATGAGTTCCCAAGTATCTCATCTCTCTGAATGGCACGATCACTCTTCACCCTGGGATCCTTCCACCAGAATGAGAAGTTCAATTAGAGAAGGCTCTGTGCAGTAGGGAAAGATAGATACGATGGTTAGATATGAATTAAGGAACTGTTGTTAGATTATGGATTAAGGACTGAAGCAAACCTTTTAAGGAGAAGGTCCCTAGGATGACATCTTAGAAAAGAGAATAATATGAAAAGATAGTCAAGAAGTCTCTGGAAGAAATAAAATTGTGGTGGCTTAATGGACGCAGAGCAAACTGAAGAAAACCTGTCCATTTATCCTGAACCCCAGTAAGGTTTTAAAACTTTGGTAATAGCAAAGTCCAGGTTGAATAGCTAAGGGAATAGTTAATCATGAATTTTGATGTCTCTTTTCAACTTAGCCATTAAACCTTGAATTGCCATTGCTCCCCAACTCTTCTGAAGTGAGGAGATTTGGATGACTAGCTGTTTTTAGATTTTATTTTTAAATGATGACTTTGAGAACTTAGGGTATCTGTGTTCAGGCACAGTGTGGAGGGGACAGTTGCTCTGCTGGAGGTGGTGTTTGTAGGTCCTACACAGGATCCAGTGCTTTCAAATGAGTCTCAAGTCATAGTCCATGGCTTTGTTTGGCGTAAATTTTGTGGCAGCCAAGCCTATGTGTGTGCAGCTGTGCTCTGGCTCCACAGCAGCTGCCAAATGGAAGTAGTTTCTGGCTCTTTCCCCAGAGTGTTTCAGGTTGAACCAGAAGCTAGACTTTCTGGGGCACAGTCAGAGTCAAGCAGCAGTATGGAGATTGTTTCAAAAGGAAAGAGGGTCAGGGAGTAGAAAAACTGCTGAGGTCTGCCCCCTCACCCACTTTTTTTCTCTCCATCTGCACCTTGTTCCCTCCCTCTAGTCCAGTTGCCATCTAAGATAAAGCCACTGCCCTGCCTGAGCCCTGGAGCACAAGAAGGTGGAGGGCGGGGAGAAGGGATCCTTTTCAGGTTCAGCCCTTGGGTGTGCCTGGATTTTGTTGATTTGGCTTGGTTTCCCGAATGCCCATCTACCTGAGAATCTTGACTGTGGTTTGAGGTCTGTGTGGGAAGGGATCATTCGGAGAGCAGTGTTCGGGTCTGGTCCACCCACCCTTTGGTGACTCCCTTCCCTTGGGTTGGCATGGGGCAACTGGTCCTTCATTTTACGAGTTTAACTCAAATGATCGGGACACAACCGGGCTCTCTAGACACAGGACAAGCAAGCCTTGGTTACCTTATCCCTGCAGTTCTCCAGAGTGAATAAAAAAAAATCCAAGCTGCAAATAGCTCTTCTTTATACCCCCCAAAGTTGAGAACAAGCAAGTGATGGTATATGGGGGGTGGCAAGGGTTTCTCTCATAGCTGCCATCCTGGGTGCATGACTTATAAAATCTCCTTTGTGAGTGAGGATAATACAGATGGTCTTCTCAGAAGCTCTGCTTATTTTGATTTTTGTATTTCTTACAAAAGACAACATTGAACTTTGTCGGTGGTGCTGTAGTTCAACAGAACATCACCGTGGTATTCTTTCCTCATTTTTCTAAAACCTTTACCCATTATCTGCAGATTTCTACATTAGGGAAAATAGATTTGTGTATGTATGGGTCTAGGTGTCTAGACAATTAACCAAAAAAGGCAAAGCATTCAGTGACAATACTACAGGTTGCATTTTTCTCCTTTTATTTATTATTATATTATTGTTGTACTGGGGGTACATTGAAACATTAACAATAGTTCTTGCAATATATCATGGTTGAATTCACCCCTCCTTTATGCCCTCTGTGGGTTGCATATTGTTCTTAAGTTCCAGATTCTATAAGCACAGTTTGCTTTTGTACATTATTTTATCCCAATAAATGCTTATTTAAAAATGTAAAAGATTTTAAAATGTAAATGAGAGAGAAATTTTGATATTTTGTCAGCCGTAATTAAGTACCCTTAGGAAGCAACATTCACCTCCACCTCAACATTTAAATCAAATCCAACAATAAAATTCTCTAACATCCAAAAAGCAAAATGGCCAACCTCAGGGAGACCCCAAGAAAGGCCAGTCTTCCCAGCATTACCTGTGGAGCATTCTGAGAACACAGGCTGTTTTTTCTATACCTTGGTATGGATGTGTTACTAAATCCTGTCTCACAGGACGTGTTTCAGTGGGATTTTAAATCTTTGTTTCAGTGTAGATTCTCAATGATTGGTGTTTGCATTAGAATCCTGGTTTTGACTTTCACAGCAAGTTTTCCACTGGTCCTCCTGCCTGTCTTGTTTAATGGGAACTTGGATTTCAGTTTACCCCAACATCTAAATAGCCTTGGTCACTGAGTTTTTTCAACTTCCTCTGGCATTAGTGGCCTCCTTGTGCTCTTTAAGAGTAAGATAAAGGGAAAGTTTTCTTACCCAAATGAGTGTCTGAAATACATATTTTTCATTTAACATGGGAATAGGAATTGCTGTCATATAACAAACACTGGGCTCTTTTGGTTCAGGCCAGATGTTTCACCCTTTGCACTTGAAGTTTCTCTGTTACTGTTTTCTTAACCTGTCACAGCAACTTAATTAGAATGTACTGCTAGAGGACAGGCAGCATTGTCAAACTTGGTACATTTTATAAAAACACACAAAAGCTCCAGACAAGCAACTGTAGCGAGACTCATCCAGATGCAATGCTGAAATTCCCCAGAGAGGAATCTTCACTGTTTTCTTTCTTTGTTCCAGAAGCAAAGGCCGATAATGAATCGAGCTGTTCTCCGGCAGCTCAAGAACTGTTGACAAGGCTGGGATTTTTACTGGGAGAAGGGATCCCAAGTGCCACACACATAACCATTGAAGACAAAAATGAAACCATGGTAATGCTCAAGGACGACACTTGCATTTTATACTTGCTCAGGGGATGAATGAAGTGATATGAAGTGATAACCATCCCTCTGCCCCTATCAGTGGAGAAGTCATTGAAGTTTATTGCAAGAGTTTGTTTCTGGGGTTTTTGTTTTTGTTTTTGTTCTTTTGTTTTTTTCAGTGTATATGGGGAGGGGAAAAAGCAGAAAGGAGCAAACTTAAGAAAACGTCCACATTCACTTTCTAGTCATACCTGGAGAATAGTGGCTACATGGATTAAAGTGGCTAAAAGAATTATTTTGTAATGATACGCTTTTATCTTTATAGCTCCATTTTTTTCTCATTTGGTGTATACTTTCCTGTGATTTTTTTTTTTTTTTTTAGTTGTTGGGATTTTGGGGGTGGGGGTGTCAGTGGGGTGAGGGAAAGATTTATATGAGATGAGGCAGAGACAAAATGAGATGAGATCTGATAGTTCCTCTACTGGGAAGGTACTCCCCTATTCAAGGGAGTAGCAGCCAGTAACCCCTGCCACCTCTGAGGTGTGTGGATAATGATGAGGAGTGGGAGCTTCTGCCCCCTGCCAGGGTCTCTGAGTGAAGGTATCATGGGTTGATTGAGACTGCAGTGGTCACCAGTCTCCTTCTCTAAATGCAGAGCCCATAAATCTTTAGGAATTGAATCAGGCTGCTGTGTTCATGAAACATTACAAAAACAGAGTCCCCAGGTTTTCCATGCAGAGGTCAAGTAACCCATTTATCTTCTGTAGACTTTAAATAAGAGGAAGTGTGCCTGTTTGCCATTTCTGTTTTACAAATGTGCATTCCCACTAAGTTATTGCTAAGTCTGCACTTAGCAAGAAAGAAAGTCACAAAAGAAAGAAACAGAACAAAGATACTTCTCTTACAGCATTTGGAGGACTAGATAGATAGATAGATACCCACATATCTATATCCATTCTCTCCCTAGAGTTGAAAAACTGCTTTTCGTTTTTACTGTTTTTAGTTTTATTGTTTTAGTATCAAAAACAAAGCATGTGTTGAAGCGTCCTGTGTAAGCCATGCTAACTCCTCCTTCCGTTCGTCTTGCAGTGCACAGCTCTGAGCCAAGGCATCAGTCCTTGCTCCACACTAACAAGCAGCACCGCATCTCCTAGCACCGATAGCCCCTGCTCAACCTTGAATAGCTGTGTCAGCAAGACGGCAGCCAACAAAAGTCCTTGTGAGACCATTAGCAGCCCTAGTTCCACCCTGGAAAGCAAGGACAGTGGAATTATAGGTAAGAAGCACACTGCTCGGTAATGTAATGTCTCGATGCACATCAGCCAGAGCACTCACCAGACACTTCTTAAGAGGGGTTTAGCATGGTCTGTGAAGGTCAGTCTGCCAGGGCCTGCCCTGTTCTTTGTTGACAGCAATGGGGCTATGTGCAGCGGAGAGAATGAAGCACCAGCTTTCATGTTCGTTGATTTTATTTTATAACACTGGGCTCACATAGTAAGAAAAATTTCCAGATTGAACCTTGCCTGTGAAGTTACAAAAATCCTCCCTCCTTACCAGTCAATTCCATTTGTTGGTCACCAGATCTCCCTAGAGCAAATAGCAGCACAGTGAAAGCCATGCATATGAAGAAGTATTCTCAGTACGATTTCAGGGTCACTTATTTCCCTGGCACAGGTCAGGCGTATGTTTTCTGTTGTTTCTTATTTGGGATCTGACCAAACCAATTTTCTACAGAAACCTTTCCTGAGCCCCACGTGATACCATGCAATAGGTATGGTTCTTCCAAGGTCAAGAGACAGGTTCTTGGTGGCTTGAGCAACATCTAATTGACATCTTTGCATACTTCTTTCCTTCTCTAGAAATTAAGAAAACTAATTCAGTAGGTTTTAGACTCAGGTGTGGATTAGAATCGCTCAGGGAGTTTAAAAGTCCCATCCCAGACAGATTGCTGTATAATTCTGTAGGTGGACTCAGGTGTGTCTGTAACTTAGGTCTTCAGCTTTGGTGCCTTTCAAATGGAAAACTGGTGGGATCCTGGAGGGGACTGCTGTGTTCTTCTTCTGCTCTGTGATTGTATTTTGATTTCAAAGTGGAGCTCTTCTGAACAATAATGCCTTCCCTTTTGGTGGGTTGTGTACATATGTTGAGGGCTATTTGTGTTTTATTATTTATCAAACTCCCACATCGATATAAAATCTAATGGAATGGAATGATATTTCAGCTCCTTATTTTCTTACGTCACTGCAATTTCTTTCAAGTGTAATTTGAAAGACCAAGCGGCAGATTCATCTAGTTCGGACTTTGAAGATTGCCCCCAATTGCCCATAAGCATTCTGGGATCAGTCTATGGACTTTCTGTGTAGACCTCTCTATAGCTTAGTAAGGTACCCCTCAGCTTAGAATAGAGGCCTCTTCTCTATTTTCACTGGTATCACCCTTCAGTGGGTTTTTATTTCCTTTTGTCATAATTACTTTATCAAGCTACAACTTACATACCATAATATTCACTCATTTAAACTATTGAATGGTTTTTAGTATATTCAAAATGGTGCACCCATCACTACAATATGATATTAGAGCATTTTTATGACCCCCTAAAGAAACATTGCACCTGTTAGAAGTCTTCATTTCCTCCAAGCTCCCCAGGCCTACTCAGGCGGCCTCCTTTCTGTCTCTACAGGTTAGCTGATTCTAGACATTTCCTATGAATGGTTGGAGAGTCTCTTGTAGCAAATCCAAATCCTTTTCATTTACCTTTAAGGCCTGCCACCAAGCTTATTCAGCTGACTCCACATTCACATTTTTACCCTGCTACTTGGGCTGCTATATATAGTCTACTTCAACAAACTTTTTCCAGGGTGATTTCCTTTCTCATGCCCTATCTCTTTCTGAATTGTTCACAACTGATAGCTCTGTGGTGTGAATTCTTTGGTAACCAGGTGACTTTCTTCACAGCTTTCTTAGCCCTTGTGAAATGTCATCTCCTTCAGAGGGTTTATCTTCCTTCAAGAATTTGGCCAGTAGTACCATTTTTGGGCAGGCTTTTGTTTTCATTGTGTGTTTCTGGCATTGACATTACATACATGTGATTGTAAACAAGTCAGTTATTGTTCCGACAGTTACAAACCTCTTCAGTAACAGAACCATCCATCTGCCCCCCCCCCGCTGCTACTCCCCTCCACATAGACACATTAAGATACAGTGCTGAAATTTCAAAAGTTGTTTTTTGGTTTTGGTTTGTTTTTGTTGTTCTGGGAATCAAACCCAGCTTTTTGCACCTGCTAGACAAGTGTGTTCTACCATTGAGTTCTACCTACGAGTATTTAAAACTGGAAAGAAAAGGTTCCAGTTTGGCTTTCAGTATTATCTATGAGAGGTTTAGCCCTAGGAGACTCTTAACTAATACTTGATTTAATAGAGTCTACCCAGTCCTAGGATGATCTGCCTCCTCAATATTTTCCCTCAGTGTACTTATTTATTTAATTTTTTTGAGGTTCTGGGAATTGAACCCAGAGCCTTGTACATGCTAGTTGACAGGGGCCTCATTTTCCCAACTCCCTCCTGGCTTTCTATCCCAGTGGTGGAAATGAGAAATTAAGGAAAGAATTGCTGCTGCTCTCAAGTTGCACTGAAGGAGGGAACATTAGTTGTTAAAGAAAGAACTATGTAGGATTCCCAATTTAAATTGGTTTGTCACACTTTTGAATATCTGTGTTTTAAGCTCTGCCTTGATAGTAAAGTAGTACCTTTCATTGCATTGAAATTGCCCTTTGTTTCTTGGCTCAAGCCAACATGGTCCCTAACTTAGCTAACAGTGAAAAGTTGTGGAAATTGAGATGAAGGTGGGAGGAGTAAGGACGGAGTTGGTGAGTCCTTCTTTCGTGAAGGACCCCAGCTCTTGGAGTCATGAGTATCACTGCATTAGCTGTTCTCCTACAGGGTACAAGGTGGTAGGTGGATGAGAAGGAAGCAGTGTGCCACTGACAATGTGCTTCTGTTCTTTCTCCTCCATGACCTATGGAATTAGAACCTGTTGCCAAGGCACACAGGGAGGTGTGGTAGGGAGGAGAAGGAACAGAAGCAAGAATTTCCTCTTTAGGCAGACTTCAGCCACAGGTGTTTGAAGAGGTAGGAATGGTGGGCCAGAGATGGAAAGAGCTTCCTCTGCAATCAGTGCAGGGTGTACAGGCTCCGATGCCTCTTAGTGGAGCACGTATCAGTGACACACTTGCGGTTCTGTGATTGCCAGGGTTGTATGGTGTCTTTTGCCACCTGATGAACATACTTTCTTTATAAAATACAGCCTGTGATAGCAGCTTTTGGGCATCTTAAATGTTTAAGAGAGTAAAATATTCAAGAGCACCATGATCCTAGCAGGCAGAGATGAAAGTAAGGCACCCTGGCATCCTGCTTTGGAAGACCTGGCAACAGCTTGTGAAATGGGCTGGTGAGGATCTATGTTCCAAATTACATAAGTCCTGGAGTGGGGAGGATGTACCTTTCCATTTAGTTTTCCATTTTAAGTAGTTTAAGGCTTTTCATGAATAGAGCTAGAGTTGGATGGCAAAGGCTTTGGGGTGGGCTTTACAAGGCACATACAGATGCCTCAGCATTATATGCTTGGGATAGCGCTGGGCTGAAAGCAGTGTTCTTGCACGGTAGTAGCACATGTTATTCAGGGGACATTTCAGACAGTGGTAACCCATCCTTAAAAATTTCTTGGCTTCCCCTTACTATTTAAGCTGACATCTGGCATGCAGTCTATATTTAATCTAAATATTTCTGCCCAGAAGAGGCAGGGATGGGAAGCCTATGTTCCCACATGCCCAGGCAGCCTCCTCAGGGCTGCCCCAGGTGCCCTGCTTATCTTCTGCTTGGCAGAAGAAAGGGCAAGCCAGTGACCATTAAAAGAACTTAGTGGGCCCCTTCCACTCTTGCTCTGTGGAGGCCAGGGCTTAATAGACTCCTCTCATCCTCCTTTAAATTTTATTATGTTATCCAGAGGGGAGTGCCAATTTATCCTATTTCAAGAGGTTCCAGTTCCTCCAACAAAAATGTCTTTAGGAGTATAATAATTCTGTCATGTAGAAATATTATCTAAGCTGAATAGGATTAATTGAATTCTCTATGAATATCTTTTTTATTTTTCTAAGTAAAATTCCTTACTACTTAACATATTAAAATTATTGGCATTACGAGAAGTCTGTTTTTCAAATTTGCAATGTGAAAATCTTCCAAATGAGAAACCCAGTTCTACACAATCACCATAAAATAGCTTTCAATTGCTTGCTTTGGAAAGAAAAACTTTATAAAGAAGTATGCTTTTAAAGGTGTTTTCTGTATGCTTGAGAAAACATTTTTTTCTTAGTGACATTCCTTTGAATTGCTTCTGTTACAAATGAAAATTGTAAACTACATTAATATTGGCCTAGAAAAAAATATATAATCATAGAAACATGTATAAAAATCATTCTGACTTTTTAAAAAATTGCTGTAAATAATGGGAATAGAGCATTTTTTTGGGTTACATATGTTTTATGTCCAAATGACGATAAACATATTATATCTGTGCATACTTGTTTCAAGAAAATGAGCTATTTCTCTATTTAGGAAGGAAGAAGATAGACACTGGATGAGGAGAAACAAAACCAGATTAAAAAATTTTTTTCCTGTCCATTAATAGATGTGCCAAGAAAGACCTGGAGGTAGCAGTTATAAAAATTCTGGCTGAGAAGTATGTTTTATATATATATGTGCATATATATATATGAAGATAGCATAATGAAACCCATCAAATACTGTTTGAAAAGGGAGGGAGGAGAAAGGAGAGTTAAGGGAACATAATAGAGGGGGTGAACTTGTTCAAAGTACTCTGTACACATCTACAGAATTATCACAGTGAAACCCTTTTGTACTATTTAATGTATGCTAATAAAAAAGAAAAAAATCTGAGGGTAGATCCTATTGAAAACCAGTCCTCTCCCCATTCCTTTCTGATACTGTCTACTTTGATCTGTTCAGATTTTCAAATGCTGAAGTATTTGTGTGAAAACCTGCATCTGCTTCCTCTTGCAAGGTGGTGTTAGAACAGCTCCCTGAAAGCAGTAGGACTCACAGATGTGGCCCAGTGGCTACCTGACATGTACCCCCAAAGACCTGTCTGGTCACTGACACCTGAGATGAAAAGTACGAGTCACCACATTCCACCAGGAAAGTGGGGTGATGGAGTGTGCAGGCTTCAGCTCTGCTCACTGCCTTTCCTCCCCTTCCTTTCCT